ATATATATATATATATATATATATAAGGGTATTCTGGTCTCATGCTGATTATACCAGTTCTTTAATGTATTTAAATTGCTAGATGAATACCGACATAACCGGTTATACCGATATTCATACCAATCGACTTTTTTATTTTAGTTATTACATAATATTTAGTTATATTCTTGAAGCTTCCACGGGTGCTTTCTGTATAAAAGTTCTGCGTTTCGCGGGTTTTCTCCGTATCCAAATCCATTCTTGAAATATCAACGTTTCATGAACCTTGCTGTCCACTTCATCAGGGCGAAGAGCAGCCTGATACAGTATTATGATGTGACTATACTAAGAATGTCCAAGTTAATTGAAAATACTTTTCAACTTTCATCATTGTTATTTATTGCATAATCCTACTATATTGTATGTGACTTACTCCGGGTATGAGGCACCATGGGCATCATTTTTTAAAAAATATATTTTTAATTTTTTCTTAAAAATTAAGTTTTTTTGACTAAATATACTTATTAAATTTTAAAATATGCATTATACTCTAATTAAAAAAATAATACAAAAATTTTTATATTTAGATAAACTTTTAAGAGTTTGAATTTGTGTGATTCACGATGTTTCGGTTTCCCTTATATGATTTTTATATCGAATGGGAACTAAGAACGGTATAACCGTTATATTAATTATATTTTTTAATTATATTTTAATTCATGTTCAAAAGATTATGTTGTTTTATTATAATTTAGTTCTTGGTTTCAAGCGACTTGCAGTAGCACTTCAGATCAATTGCTAGTGTTAGAAGTATTTTGTTATAGTATGTCTGTTCTATACTTTTCTGTAAGTATATATATCATACAATAAGTTTATATAATAATAAACTATAATTATAGTAAATATATCTTTTTTATAAACTTTGAAGTAAAAAATTAAATAATAAAAGTAATGATGAGCGATATATCAGTGTCTTTCTTTATAAAATTGATTTTGGAAGAGAAATCTATTTTATAAATATGTATATATATTTTATATTTAAATTATATATATATATATACATAAAGAGGACTTTTGCAATTTTCACAATGATTGATAAAATATTAATTAATTCTAAAGATTACCAAATAAGCTGCCCAGACATTAACTATTATGAAAGTCGCAAAATGATACAGGACTTTTGGACTGAGTCATCATAGGATTATGTAAATAACATGTGATATTCTCTCTCTCTCTCTCTCTCTCTCTCTCTCTCTCTCTCTCTCTCTCTCTCTCTCTCGACAATCTTATTCGGTAATCTTTAGAAATTAATATTTCGTTAACAAATAAAAAATAAATGGAAAAATGTATTCTTGTGGAAGTTAAACATAGATAAACATATATAAGTTCGTAATCAAGATTGAAAAACTTATTAATAGAATGTAAAAAATTAGATATCAAAACTCAAGTTTTGGAGTTTAAACTTAAAGAAATCAAAGATCGAAGAAAAAAATTAAATCTTTTTTTCTAATTTTAGTGAAAGTATGTAATAATAAATTAAGAAACATAATGCATTTATATTTTATTCTTTATATTACGGAATTTCCATAAATGAAGAGTGTGCAGAAAATTGTAAGTGTTCATTACATTTTTCCAACACACACATTTCACATAATTTGATAGTTAATTTTAATTCGCTTATTTAAAATAACTAAAATGTTATGTCTATTTATGATCCAGTAAAGTGATATTGTTGGAGCGCCTTCAGAATCTTATATATTTATGATAAGAGATCCAAATATTTCTAGTAAAATGGTCGAACCAATAGTAAGTGTAAAATTACATAGTAATCATTTGTTGATGTAGCTAATTTTTTCATTTGATAAAAAACCATGGTTATATTGATTTTAAATATATATATATAAAGATATATAATTCAAAAATATAAATAATTAAACAATCTAATTCATTATTTACAGATTTTCACTGTGAAAAATGGCATTTATAAGGGGCAAGTAACACAGGATTTGAATAAATACAAGTGTCTCGGAAAAGCGATATGGCACAGCATTGGAAACAATGGAGAAAAAATTGCACACGTGAGTTAATTTTATATACAGGGTGTCTCATGAGACTTTTTGCTGTTTTTCTGTAAAGTTGATAGTATTTGAGTGAAAAATTATTGAAGAGAATTTGGCAATTTTTAGTAATTAATATCTCGTTAACCATTGCAAAAATTGCAAAATGGTAAAGAATTTTTCGACTCAGTTTAGACTACTCTGTTTACAAAAAGCGTTTGGCAAAAGTCTAGCAGAACTTGTATAATATAATATTAATACATAGAATTTACTAGAAAAAAATGTAAATTTTTAAATTTATGTATCTATAGTAATAAGAGAAAAGATTTATAAAAAATAGATATTTCATAATTAAAATGACTAATATTAGCGATGATAAGCATAAAGGAAACGGTAAATTAAAATGTTTACAATGATAAACTGTAGCTGTTAAGCTCTACTAGATTAAATCTTCAATCAAGTCTTTGATTAAGATATTTAAAGAACTCATCAACAGAATTGGGCCAAGAGTTTGGGTTCTGTTATCAAAACAGTTTAATTAACAGTATTTTACAAATATAAAATATAAATTGCCGAAGGTGATAAACTAGCTTATTCAATTTTTGTATTTGAATGAAATAAAATATTATTTCAAATTAATTAAAGTAAGACATGGAAGATTTTCAAAATATTATTCAAAACATTTTTTATAAAAACTAAGCAAATGTAAGAGAAAAACTACAAAACAATTAAAATAAATTTAACAGATAAAAAGATCAAAGATTGCGATAACAAAATTAGATTTACATGATGGGTGCGTTCCGAGATACGCATGAAATGCATCATTTATTCTTGTTGTTTATCAAATAATAAAGAAGAATAAAACGATACATCACGCACTTCATATAACTCGGAACGCACCCGATATTTGCCGATAATTGCTAATTAGTGAAGTCGTGATATCATATAGATGATATCAAAGTTTTATGGCATATAAAATGAAAAATTTACTTTAATTACAATTTTTAAATAATTGTAGAATTAATCATAACACTAGCAAAAAAATTATCATAAATAAAACTCTTATTATAACATTGTCAAAAACTGTTTTTAAACAAATGAAAACACGGGCAATTAAAAGCCTAAATTCGTAAGCCACAAATATCGCAAAACCTGTTTTGTTTTAAACTTATCACGGACGGAAATGATTAGTAATAAATATCTTGGGATATCATTTCGGAAATTTTTTGTAATACGATTCAATAGGCATTAAAAAAAGTTTATAATAAATAAAAAAATAAATAAATAAAACGAGAATTCAAATAAAATTCTTTAAAAACTGATTGAATATTTTTACAATTATGTATAGTTTTTGTAAAATTTAATTTCTTCTTGTAATCAATAAAAAATGTTTTGGAATTTATAAATGATTCTTTCAATAGCAAGTTAATGACTCTGCAATATAACTAATTCCTTATTGTTTTGGAACATTTTTTTTAAATAATACTATGTAGTTGGACGCACGCACTGAAGAGACAGTCACATACGCGGAGTTGCAAGATAAAGTTGTGAAATGCGCTTTGTGGTTACAAAAACAAGGAATCAAATCTGACGATATCATTAGTGTGTGTACGGGTAATCATTGCAACTCCATCGTGCCCTGTCTTTCAGCAGTTTATATCAACGTGATTTTCAATCCGTGGGACGAGAACATGAATCTAAGTAAGTTCTTTCGCAACTATTAAATGTTATAATATTCCACGTTATGTGTAGTAAAATTAAAAATAGTTAATGTATTTCCAGTAAAATACGCGCAAATATAATTTTATTTATTTTAAAATATCTTTATATTTATAGGGCAATGTTTATTTTTTTAATTATATATAAGTTATTTATCATTAGAAACTGCGCTGTACGTTTTGCGAATGATCATGCCGAAGGTGATCTTCTGCAGCGAGAAATCAGTGGATGTTATCTTAAGCGCGATAAAGGAGCAGAATTGCAATCCCACGATAGTAGTTTTTGGCAAGCATGTTGACGCGATTTCGTTCTCCGATATTCTGAGTAATTGCAGCAATGTGGAAGTAGCAAATTTCCATTACATCGACCAAGTTGACATCACGAAGACAGCATGTATTTTACATTCGTCAGGCACTTCAGGGATGCCAAAAGGCGTTGAATTGTCCAATTATGCTCTATTACATGTCAGTCAGAATGAAACTATTAACACGACTAACGCGGTATTTCTTTGGTTTTCTTCTCTTTATTGGATCAGTGGGATAGTCCTGAATTTGATTACGATCGTGCAAGGTGGCAAAGTGATCGTCTACCCTGAATTTAACGAGGAAATGACTTGTCGACTGATCGAGAAATACCAAGTAATGTTATATATGTTATATATAAAAAGTTATTTTTCTTAATTTCATTGAATAATTAAAGTGGAATTATTTTAATTTTGTATCTTTTCTAAAAATAATATAACTAAATTGTTCCACACTAATGTAAATAAGTAGTAGCAAATAATTTTCTGATATAAATAAATTTTTACTCTAATTTAGTTTTTACTGTTTCGCGAGTTCTATAATGAAGTTGATGTAGAGTTGAGTTTTTCAAGTATAATCTAATATTTTTAAATTAAATTAATAACTGATGTGATTTCTATATGTAATGTAATTACTTATCTTTTATTAAAATAATTATATTAATTTTTGTATCAATTTTTCGTTTAATATATTTGTGAATACCAAATTGTATTTTGATAAATTAATAGCATATTGAATATATATAATATCTCGAATTAACATAAGTGCAAATTATAATAACTAAGAAAAAATATATTATAACAATGTTTTATAATAATATCTATCTACTTCTTTACATTATAAATTAGATACATGATTAGTTCTATATTTACAAGTAGTTTGTGCATGATATGTAATAGAATTCAAAATATGAATTGTTTTATTATCTAGATAGAAATTATTTTTTTAAGCACAAGTTTACTGAGTCGGTTTCTCAAAGCGAGTTGTATAAAGAAATATTCTTTATCATCTCTGAAAGTTATACTGTACGGAGGTGCAATTATGAATAAAAAAGTGCAGGAAGATCTGAAATATATTTTACCACACATCCAAATATTGCAAGGTTACGGTAAATATAAAAAAGGCAATAAGATATTAACATATATTGTATTATGTGGATGATATAATTTTAATTATATTTTTTATGTTTCTAGGAATGACAGAAACCGGTGGTCCTATAACATCGCCGCAATCACATAATAAGAATGGATCTAATGGAGTCGTAGCCAAGAATGTGCAAATAAAAATCGTGGACCCCGAAAGTGGGGTCAAAATACTTGAATCAAATCAATCAGGAGAAATATGGATAAAATCTACAACCATGATGACTGGTTATTATAAAAATCCTGAAGCGACAAGAAGTGCGATTGATGAAGAAGGTAAATCTTATTTGTCATAATAATAAGTGATATAATTATATTTTTGAAAAATTAATTACAATTTAACGCATGCAAAAACTAAATCAATTGTATTCCATTAGATCCCAAAAATATATATAATAAATATATAAAAATATATAAAAAGTTATAAAAATATAAAATATAGTGGTTTAAAAGTAAATTTAAAAAATAGGATGGTTGCACACGGGTGATATCGGTTATGTAGACGAAGATGGAGAATGGTTCATTATCGAAAGAATAAAGGAACTCATAAAGTATAGAGGTCAGCAAATCTCTCCCGCAGAAATCGAGAATATGTTAATATCACATCCAGCAGTACTAGAAGCTGCAGTAATAGGGGTGCCCCATGCATTAGACAATGAACACCCTCTTGCTTACGTTACCAAGAGGCCTGGCATCGAGGTACAATCATTTGTTAGAAATATATAATAAAGTCATAAAATAAAGATTTGCAAAATAAAATTAGAATATTTCTAACAGCGAGCCGATTTTGAGTATTCCGTCAGATATTTTCTTAAAATATTTAATAGATGTCTAGTAGAAAGAGAATCACTTATAGAAGTAAGGATCTTGATGTAATTAAAATAATTAAAAAACAAATAAAAAAATTTGCATATTAACTCGATCAACATTAGAATGCATTGAATAAATCAGTTTAAGAGTTTAAAGAAAGATTTGATAAGAACAAACGAATCGCGAAGGAAGAAATAGCTTCAAGACTATTGTTATGTTTATATATTACGTTTTAATACAAAACAGGAAATATTTTATGTATTGGATTAATCTTTTTCATTTTCTTTGTACAGGTGACAGAACAGGAATTGATAGATTTTGTGGCGGAGAACATGGAAGATCGATGTAAACTACGTGCAGGAGTTATATTTCTGGATAGTTTTCCATATACGGGTTCAGGGAAAATTTCAAGAAAAGATTTGAAAGAAATGACTAAGAAACTAGTAAACAACAGTGATTAGTTACATAATTATATTCTGTTATAATAACTTTAATTTATAAATCTGTAACTCTTATTACTTCAAAATACAAAATATGAATATAGATAATTGTTTTTTATTATCAAATAAAGAATTATTTTATTGTAATTGATAAAAATATGTAATATGAAATATATAATATTTAGATTTAAAAAATTTCTAAAAAATGTGTTTCTGCTATGACAACTGCAAAATTATTTTTTTTTAAATTTGTATGCTTTGTTTAATATTGAAAAATATAAAGAGAACGGAAGAGTAATTAAAATAAATTATATGTAGAAAAAGTATACGTTAGAAAGTATATGTTAAACAATATATCTAATATTAAAAGTTATTATACTTCGGCAATTATAATCATTTAAAGGTATTTGCCATATAACAACTAATAAAAAATAACTTATCAAATTATTATCAAATTAATTGATACAATGATTTTGATATCGATTCGATATTTAATTGATAGTCATTTTTCACTGAAAATCACATCATGCATTTTCGAAATTATCAAAATGTAAGAATTTGTCCTCGTAATTGATCTTTGATCAGGCGCATTTGACTTTCAATCGGCTAAGATCATATATGAGTTAATTGACGGTTTAGAGCTTTATCGAATTTTGCAATAAAAACGACTACCTATACTTATTTAATTGCCTAATCACCCAGAAGTCAATAAAAATCAGTAAATATAGTCAGTAGTCAAGAAATAGCGTCAGTAAGAATCAGTAAATGACATAGAAATAATAACAAAGTTGTTAAGAAGTAGAAAATAATTGAGAGATAATGAGTCATTGTATTACTATAAATTGATTCTATTCGCTTTGATGCAAATTGTTTTAGTTGAACTTTGGATATAGATAATTGTTTGTAATTTACGTTTGAAGAAATGAGTTTGTGAGATAAGATTTGACTCATTGTTTATAACTCCTAATAAGCGCTGTTACACCGAATGACTGACTCATAAGACAAAACAGTTCCGCCTTGGGAGTAATAATATTTTATTTGTTGTATTGAAAGATTAAAGTACAAAATTACAACGCAATAGATGTTCATCCAGTCATCTATTTAAGTTAAGAATATTTTTCTTAAGATAAATATCATAACGTGAAAAAGAAATTGATTGATCTAATAATAATAATGATGATGCAAATATTTATAATTTGCGCAATTATGGAAACTAAATGTGATTTATTATGAGATATATATATATATATA